CTAAGCTAACCCGCAACCTATTGCGGGTTATAAAAGTTGACCCGAAACCCGACCCATTTGCGGGTTGAGTTTTTTCGGGTTTGCGGGTTTGCGGGTTTTGGCGTAGTCTATCGGCAACACCTATCAGTTTGCCAATACTCCGGTATAGACCCACTGAGCGCTCTACCTCGCATCGTTCCTCGATACCCTCAAAAGGACCTAGTCTGTAGTAAGGCCTGTTGGCAACAGTACGGTTGAGAGACAGATCGTTGACGTTGGTGGATTGAGGTTTCAGGCAAGTATAACGCGAAACCCCCTAACATTAACTGTGACCAGTTTGTAGTGCGTAACATTAAGGCTCTCGCGCTGACGAAGCTGAAACCCAGAAAGAGGGCGTGAACTATAATATCGTCGCAGTTTGCCGCGACTCCAGAATGCTAGCACTATGTCGATCATATGCTTAAGCCACGCTACTAGGACTAGTGTCTGGCATTGGCTCAGCTGCCTAGTTAGGGTAATAAAGTCGACTCTTGAGTCTAGGATTATATTCGTGGCGTGCAGAATGCTATGAAGGCAAACCTAAATTGGAGGTGCGCACCCTATCCTTTTTGAAGTCCTTTATTGCTCCGTAAGCTTATTTAAATAGCTTTGCTTCAGGTCGGTACTTCGGGACGGCGCAGAATGAGGTTCGCAATAATATGATAGTGAGAGTGCAAAAGCGGAGTGTTGATGGATTTCAAGGCCTTTTTAACTGGCCAATGGGTTATCAAGTAGTACAATGATGTTGATGTTGATGTTGATTTTATGTGCTATCAATCAATCAATCATTTGCCCGGTTTAGCTCGTTTTAGATGCAGCCGCTACGCCTGACAGCCAGGAGAATAACTTCCAAAGCCCTGTCAGCAGCTAAAGTGCCTGGTCACCTGGTGCAAGCCAGAGTACGTAACCATCATTGAACGATGTCGCAACCCAGGGTATACGCAGCTCGTGGATATATGGCTCAACCAATGGAATCGCAAAAGAGGTCTAAATTACTGTATAGCCCGGTTTGGCAATTATGGGGCCTTTATCCTTTATATAAATCGACTTTGCTTATAATGGAAGGAATACAATAATACTGTAGAGGAGTACTATATGACTCGACTGTCACTTAATAAAGTCTTAGAGAGAATTAGGAACACACTTACTCTTAAACTATAAAGCATTATAGTTTTTACAAGCTTAGTGCATCTTGCCTAGTTTTTCGTAAGCTTTATTCATCTTGCCTAGTTTTTACAAGCTTTGTGGATCTTGCCTAGTTTTTGCATAGCTTAGTCAAAATTGCCTGGTTTTTGTATACGCATACTAGTTTTTGCATGTAGTATATTTTTCAATTTGTTTTTACAATAAGAAAAAAGAGTCTGAAAGAAGATCCGGTAGGTAACGTATACCTTCCGAAGAAGGCCTCTTAGTTAATTAACTAACTAGTTTAGTTAGTTAGTTTGAGCAGCATCTATATTAATAATACAGCCGGAGGAAGCAATTGAGACACCTACCCCCGGATCTAGCATATATAGAGAATCGGCTTCCCAGCCACATGCATGGGGCTAGCCAGGAGGTGGAATATATAGGCATCTAGGACATAGAAGGGAGACATGCCCAGATGGACCAATTAGTTAGTTGGATTAGTTTACTGGTCTTTTGGTTGAGATCTATATTTGACTTTAATAGGTGGCCCCGGGGGTTTCGGTGCCTACCGAATACGTTATAGGGAAAATGGAAGTTATAGAGTTAGTCTTAAAGGAGGGTATTGGGGGTGCGATATTACATCCTATTTGTCCTAGGGCTTCCTATATAGTTAGCTCGCTCTCGTCTTTTCCTCTCCTCTCCTTTCCCCGAGTCAGTCAGTCAGATAGCATCCAATGCAGTTGTATTGGTCTCTTCTTCCATAGCACGTGCCATGAGATTCTCACAACTAGTCACTGCCTTACCCTTGTGGTTCGGAAGCGTGAATGCAAACCAGAGCTGGGCAGGCTGGGCAGGACTGGGAGACCAGACAAAGTGGTCCACCCCCTGCTGTAGCCCGAACGTCGTGGATGTGGATATCGCAATCATTGGTGGTGGTTCCGGTGGCATCCACGCCGCAATTCATTTGAAGGACGCCGACGCCAGCGTCAGTGTCATCGAGAAGAAGGACCAGATCGGCGGCACACAGAAACATATACCAACCCTACCACCGGCGTCGTCACTAACGTTAGTGTTATCGTTTTTGAGAACACAGACCTGGTCAAGCGGTACTTCGCCCGCCTTGGAGTCCCTATAATCACTTCCAACCCCGTGACAAGCCCAAGCTCAGCAAAGATATATGACTTCGCCTTAGGCATTCCTATCCCGGCCCCGGATGACCAGCAGCAGGCTATTCGAGCTGCCGCGCAAGCCTACACCAAGAATGTGCTAAGCAAGTACGGATGGGTTGACCAGGGCTTTTTAGTCCCGGACCCGGTTCCCGAGGAGTTATACCTACCCTTCAGCCAGTTTGCAGAGAATTACAACTTTTCTGCTCTCCTTCCTACTATCGCGCAAGTCGACTGGTATATAGGCAACCTCACGACACTCCCGGCCTTATACGGCATTAAGAGCCTCGGACCCGGCTTGCTCGGTAGTGTCTTCGGCGAGTTTATACTATCTAGCACAGGCAACAGCAGAAGCCTATACGACGCGGCCCTAAAGGAACTAGGCTCTAGTGTCCTCTTGAACACCACGATCCTTAATATCGATCGTCACTCTAACTCGACTGGTGTGACTCTCTTGGTTTCCCAGCCCGGAAGCGCCCCTAAGACAATCCGTGCCCGCAAGTTGTTAGTCGCCATCCCGCCGACCCTAAAGAACATCTGGTCCTTCGACCTCTCTAAGCAAGAGGAGGCTATCTTCTCCAAGTTCTCCTCCCTCGGCTACTTTGCCGGCGTGGCTAATGTCCCGGGTTTCAATAGCACGTTGACTAATATGGGCGCCCTAACTCCTTTCAACCAGCCTATCATTCCGGGTAACCATGGCTTTATCACCACAGGATCGCCTAACGAATTCCAGATCGGAGGGGGCTTCGACAGCGGAGACGTCACGGATGAAGAAGGAAAGGACCTCGTCCGTAAGAACCTGGCCACCCTAGCGGCGGTGGGTGCCGTCCCGGCGGATGCGGCACATTCTGTCACGTTCCCGTACACATCCAACCACATGCCGTACAATGTACGTGTCACGGCTGAGGATATCAAGGCTGGCTTCTACGCCAAGCTTCTAGCGCCACAGGGCTCCCGCAATACGTACTGGACTGGCGCGGCGTTTTCTGGCCACAACAGCGCTCTGGTCTGGAACTGGAATGAGGGAACGATTGTGCCTGGCCTGAAGAAGGACCTTGGCCTGAAATAAGCCGTCGAGGGCATTTACCCTATCAGCTATTGTTGAGGCTACGGCAACTGAACTCCTGGAGAAACCAAGGAAGAAGAATCTGCTGCATCCAATCTAAGGAGAGCCCAGTTATAGAGGCCTAGAAAGGGAAACAAGCGAACAAGTAAAGGCTCAGTCTGAAAAACAAGGCATCTATGGAGGATGGGATATTTCACTCCTCTATGTAACCTAGCCTGGGAGATGGTAAGGGTTTTCCTTAATAATTTCTTTCGACTGACCTACATTATCTGCGAAATTGAATAATTACTATATACTATGCATCTCAGGTCGAAGAGGCTTGAAGCCGACCTGCTGCGGCCGATATTAAGGTTCAGCCTATCCTATCCTCTACAAAAGGTCACTTAGCCTGCTCCTAGACCCAATTTCCGGTGTACTCCGGAAATTAGAATGCCAATCTGACGAACATTTTGGGTGCGAGCGTTTCAAGGCCTATCCAACAACTTAAGCACATATTTCCAGATCCACAGGTTGCCCTTCGACCAAACGGTAGTATGTCTTGGAATTAGTCGACAAAAACCGATCGATTCGTGCCCGGCTGGGGGAACTGTCCTGAGAGAGACTTGTGATGTACCTTCCCACTCAGCCCGGTGCATCTCCTATTGTTAATGTTAACTGGCTTGCTGTCAAACCTCTATTTCCCGAGCTCCAAGATTTGACGCTTCACGCTCTTCTCCTTCCACAGCATTAGTATCTATTCCGTCACCATACTCACATCTCCGAAATACAACTTGCGCTGCTCTTCTATGAATTCCTGTCATCTGAGTCGCCAGGCTCTTATTCTATTCTTGGTTATTCCCTTTTCTTTTTCTGTCGTGGTTATTGCTGTAAGTTGAGCTTCGAGGTCGTGTCTCACTCAATATTGTCCGAAGTGGGGACGAGGAAGGAGACACTTTGACCATACCATACGACTATTTGAGCCTTGGTTCCAGGATAAATGCCAGATCCTGATCATCGGCCCAGACACCATTCAATTAAGCGACCGAATCTTTAAGGCAGACAAATACTACGAAGGGAAGCGCCCAAGTCAAGCTTAGCTAGAGATGTGGATTTTTGCGATCCCCGCCAACTTTGAGAAGAGTGTTGAGGACGTCCAACGCCTCGGGCACTATTCTCATGCCTCCGCATTATTTTCTATACGGGAGCGCGCAGAAGCACGGATTACTGGATAAGAGCTTCTCGAAAATAATGTTATCAGACAGATCAGTTATATAGAGTCCCAACCAAGCAAAGTATCTAGAGAGTACCTAGATATCAAAGTTTTCGATCTTTTTAGCACGACACAGATCGTGATCTAGATACAACATATCTAATCAGGCTTAAATTTGCGGGAATAGAATTTAGCATCGAGTGGAACATCAAGGATTCAATATCGAAAAATAACTGTTAGAAGGCAAGACACGGAATTCCCTATATTAAGGCTGCTAGCCCTCGCGATATCAAGGTAGCCGTAAAAGACCGTTAGCGTCATCGAAAACCCTAAAGCCTAGTATTTCACTCCTAGTACCCTGATTGGGATCTATAGTCAATGGTTTCTATCCCTATCAGCTCGTCCTAAACTCTTACGCTTCGTTATAACAGATATATTATTTATTAGTTAGTTCACGATAATGAATAAGTACTATAAATAAAATAATAATCTTCCGTTAATTAGCGTAAAACTGGGTACATATTTCCGTTCTAGTTTTGTCACTCCATGTGTACTATTATTCGGCCATAACTAATGAGTCATGTCTAGATATACGGCCAGGTAAACTGTCTTGTCCAGCCTTTGGAGCCGTCTACGTTGGTTAGAGGTTATCAGGCCCACGGCTCTGGAGAACACCTTCACCCAGTGGCTGCACCTACTCCACACTGGCATGTTCCATGATCCTAATGACGGTACGTGGTCAATTACGAGCTGAACTTCCGAATAATGTCTAACCCGGTTTTAGGTACATGGTACATTTTAACCAGTGCAGACCATAACGATGTTCACGTCAACCGAATCAACTCGGATGGTTCAGTCGGGAATTGCGTGAACGACCTCTGTAACATAGATTTAAAATAACCTTGGGACCTTCATCGTGGGACGAGCCTTGGGCTCTAGCGTCAAAGTCTATCTGATCTGACAAGTGAGAATTGCCGCCTAGTATCTGTTGACTGCAGAGTGGTTTTCTTGAAAATATGGCGTTGTGTCCTGCAACGGATAGTTGATTGGTTGGGAAATTCCCCAGGCTGGGGTTTCACCTAGCCGAACATCATTGAGTATAACAAAATCTATGAATCTCATATATCTATCTGTCGTATACTCTAGGATTCATAAATGTGGGAATGGACATGGATCGTTGAAAATGGACGAGCCTATGAAGCTATAAGATATGGGCTAGAGCAACTCACGAGCACGCATTCTAGACCGAACGTATTGTGGGCAAGTGGGATTCGGAAAGGGCGGGGTCTTATTCAAACCATTTGAGGCCACGCGTTTCATCCTTCAATCCAGACCGAACGCTAGATAGAGAATCCTCAAATCTCCCCTAAAGGACACCGTCCGTAGCCTCAAGATAACGGGGTGGGTTTTGGTAGGGTCCCCAAAGTACAAGGTTGAATTGTTTTCAGCAGCTCCGCAGCCTCAATCATCCTGTCATCTCGTTGCACGCTCATAGCCCTTTGATACCTCCCCTGTATGACGCTAGGTGCCTCTCGCACATAGCGCCGTAGTGCCGCGACTGCAGTTCTATAGCCTTGATCGGATGGACTTTCGAACCTGGACATTCTTTGATGGTCTGCAGCAATGCCGCATCTTTCGGTGTTGTCGATTATCGGTGCTGCACTCGCTTCAGTGACGATATAATCTCTTTTGTATTTGAGATCAGTCTTCTCTTGTTCCCAGAAGAAAAAGATGCGGAAATTGGACATGAGCGGCGCAAATTGGTCGGTGATATTCTGCAGGACTTCAGATTCCTTTTCGAGTGCGTTGACTAGCGCTGATTCGAGGTCTATCAGGGCTTTAGGGGTCGCCAGGGATGCAATCTTTTGAAGACTACCGAAGATATTTGCCTTACTAGATCCTTGATGCGGGGTGCCGAAGAAGAGGATAGCAAATGTGCAGACGTAAATCGAATAGATATGAGTGAGTCTAGGGCGACTTTCTGCATATGCCAGGGCCTATTGATGGTTAGCTCATAGAACGATCTTGGTCCTTCCCAATACCTTTGCATCTATTCCTGAGTTACTTACTCTCTTCACTATTATGCCGCCTAGAGAATGGCATACAAAAATGATGGGCCTTTGCGCTGCATCGTCGAGCTATAACCATTAATAGGGTTTCATTTGGATAGACTTAGACAGTTTCTTACATCCCTATCTGCCTCTAGTTGAGAAACCAATGTCTGCGCATGTTGTAAAATCCTGTCTGAGCTGGGTGTCTTTCCGTTGTGGGACGAGACGCTCGCGTTATAGCCCCATACTAAAACTCGGGCACGAGGAATATACCTCGGAAGGAAAGATACGTTGCTGAGCCAACAGATCCCTTGCGGCTTAGATGTCCATGACCCTGTCGCATGACCATTGAGTCCATGGACCGCAACGATGCTAGTTTATTGTCAACAAAATTCAACATTTCAAGGCCAAACACTCACTCCACCTCAACTGGCTCGTCAAGTGGTCGATATTGCTCCTGGATCCCGTAAATTTGTTTACGAACTTCTACACTTTCAGTCATTTCCTTGAACTTCTCAGGTTGGGTGTAAGGTGGAGAAATGGTGTCGTTCACGGTTGGTTAAACTGGGACTGAAGTGCAATTCTGCTATTACTACGACCCCTCATAAGCGGCCTTGCCAACGCCTTTTATTGGACACCTTACCGATGTGTTTTAGTCTGTGCCCAGTGATCAGTCCTGCATTAGTGTACACGCTAGTGGAATATAAAATGATTGGGGAAACATCTCACTATGGACGGAGTGCATGTCCTGATACATGATTCTTGAAGTGTCTCCCCTCTTTGCAAGGATCTGCCTCTTTGCTAGATAAATGTCTCTTCCTTCTATAGTCGCTCATCGACGATCTTGTTTCCATGAACTCCATTTCCAATGATAATATTTTAAGCACTTCCACTTTGCATCCTTCGGCACTCGAAAGAACCAAGGTTAGTCGCTGTCTTTCAGTTCCGACAGGCTGATTTAGCTCTCCTGTCGGCAACGTAATCCACGAAAATGTCTGCAATGTCCTCACAATCGTATAAGAGATCTCCATTAGAGTAAATTCCTCCCCCAAACTTTGACGAGCGGCTGAAAGGAAAGTAGGCCCAGCCAATATTGCCAAGTTCGCCGGTTTCCCATCGCTCAGGACAGAATTCATATGCATCAGGGCCGTGTATGTTCTTCTTTCGTAAATTCACGTACTGTGAATAGAGAACTAGTTCACCCTTTCTCACTAAGATGGGCTTATCACCTTCTGGGCCACCCCCTGTTGGTAGAAGAGTAGTTTCCACCGCTTCGCAATTGTTCAGTGGAACAGGGGGATAAAGCCGAAGACCTAACGAGAAGCGGTTAGAGGCTGGCCCTTCAGTCAAAATCAAACAGACCTCTCATTGGAACTCACTTTCTTTGATCACATAATCAAGGTGTCGAATTCTTTTTATTTGCTCCCGACTTGGTATAAACTCGCTCCCCATAACGGAAGAGATTTCTTTTCGCAGACGTTCCGTTACACCCGTATGGCGGACAAGTAGTCGGCTAACCATCGACAAAGTATAGCGCTGAGCGGCAACCTTGGAAGATATCTCTGACGGTGTGATACATACAATGTCCAATATAGGCAGCATGCCGTTGTATCTCGCCCAGCGAGCAAAACATTTAGAAGTTGATCACGTATATTATTCATCCTTTTAGGCTCATTCAATTCCCTGTGTTTGGGCCCAGACCGCTTCCCTTGATTATTTTCCGCGGTCTCCAAATACGGCTCCTTGCAATCTGTTTGATGAAGCCATATCGTTCTCTTCATTGCCAGTTAGCGCCCATTTTCTGGGCGAGATGTACACTGTAAGCACTAATGCGGCGATATCACACACTACTAAGCCAAAAGTGGAGAAAAGCGGTAAACCTGCCCATCGTGTCCCGTGATAGGCTCACCTCCATATCGGGAAGTCCTCATGTGAAAACTAATTATAATTCCCCAGGGTCATTCAACTCATATTTTGTAGTTAGAGGGCCCATTTTCTCATCGTCAGCATGTCAATATATGTCTCTCTGTGAGAAGCGATTAAAATTTTAAATTTGCGCGATGCCACTGGGGCTTCATGTGCTTCATTCCCACAACCTCAGTCCGTCCGCGGCAGATTTGGATCAGAATACTGGTGTCGAGTAAGAATCCCCAGTCGTCCATTGATGTGGGTGTATTGCATCGCTGACGGAGTCCTTGATAGTATCGTCGCCGTTCATGGCCTAGGGAAAAACTCGATAGAGACATGGACACATCATGAAACGGGTACTTTATGGCTTAGAGATCTCCTGCCACAGAGTATCCATAACGCCCGAGTTCTCACATTTGATTATGACGCCAATCCTTCCCTTTACACTGGAAAAGATTTTATGGACAGGGTTCAGAGTCAAGCAACTACCCTAGTGGCAGACTTAGAGGGGGAGAGGAGCTTAGAAAACGCTTCTAGGCGACCGGTAATCTTTGTCTGTCATGGGCTCGGAGGCATCATTGTGAAGAGCGCGCTTGTTCATTCAGCAAGTCGAACATCCCATTTCACATCACATCTCAATGCTATATATATCTCGACGTTCGCCATTTTGTTCTTCAGCACTCCGCACGATCACATCGACGTTGGGAAATGGCTTCCTTCGAGCGCATCGACCATGACAATTCGCCAACCAAAAGAGAAAATCAGTGTGCCTGGAACGCCCATTACTGTGCATACCTTGGAAGTGATCACAAATCAATTCGCTCCACTCATGAAGAAGATTCATATGTACCTTTTTTGGGAGGGGGTGAGGACACAACTTGCAAGAGGCGCTGAGTTTATGGTAGACCCGTCCTCCGCTGCTCCATACATATATGATACGGAAAGATGTGGAATTTCGAGCTCCAACCATTCAGATATGACGAAATTTCACCAATCCGACTCTGCTTACCGGACAGTTATATCGGCCCTCATGAAGTACTGCTACTCAGCGCCAGCAATTGTCACATACCGATGGAGAGAAGCAATGGAATTGATAATGCGGATGCGAAGAAACGAAGCTTGTGAATTGACAGGCTTATTTCTTGAAATTCCAGACAAAGTCCCGATTACAACGGAAAGCAAGACAGATACCATCGATGTCGCTTTGCAGAATGAGCATTTCCACCTCCCATGCACAGTTTCCATGGACTTTATAGGCCAGGAAGATATTATGGAAAGACTCCAAAATGCGTTTGAACCAGAAGACCTGACGTCGTTTAACAAACAGCAAAAGCGATTTGTCGTTTACGGCATTGGTGGCTCTGGGAAGACACAAATATCTGCAAAATATGCCCAAAATAACCGACAACAGTAGGTATTCAAGCATCTACATGTCGATTTTTACTTACTGACATATGTCATGTTCAGATATTGGGCAATTTTCACCATTGATGCGTCTTCTACCCAAACTGCGAAAGAATCATTCTGCAGAATTGGACGGATGGGGGGTCTCGAAGCCACTGAAGATTCTGGCAAACACTTCCTCTCCCAAGCTCGAAAGAATTGGCTGCTCATAATCGATAACGCTGACAAGCCTGATATAAAGTTCGAAAATCTCATTGTGCCTGGGGAGAGAGGTCATATCCTCGTAACTACAAGAAATCCCAGTCTTCGAAGGCAAGGCAACGTCGGGAGTGTGGAGGTGAAAGGTCTTAAGCAAAGAGAAGCTCTCCACCTTCTCATGAAAGTGGCAGATATTCTCCCCCCGTGGGATTTATCCTCAGAAACAGCAGCAAATGAGATCATCAAGACCTTGGGTTATCTTGCCCTCGCAGTCATTCAGGCGGGCAACCTAATTTACAACAAAATGTGCAACTTAAAAGAGTACCTGCGATTCTATAGACGGTTTTTGGAAAATCGCCAGAGAAGAAAATCTATTTCAAACTCTGAAGATCCTGCTGGGGGGAAGACTGAGAATGATGATATCTATTCAGCATTTGACTTTTCGTTTCAAAACATCGTGTCCAATAATACGACCGCCAGTCAAGATGCAGTGGAGATTCTCAACATTGTTAGCTTCTACCATTTTGATAATATACGAGTGGACATCTTCGAAAGAGGCATGAGCCTTGAGCGAAGCCAGTTGCGGCGATTTCGAACCAGATCTCTCCGGGCAGAATTTGTACAAGCTATTGTCAGTCGCTTCAGACCACCCCGGGCCCTTCCCCGAATACTCAAGCAAAGTGCGGATGATATGCATCCATTGTGCATCAGGGAGGCTCTTCGAGAGTTGTACGCATCTTCATTGATAACATACGGACATGACGAACAGAGTTTCTCATTACATCCTTTGGTTCATGCTTGGGCAAGAGACCGCATACCTCCTAAAGAGAGGAGCCTTTGGGCAATAATTTCCTTTCATACGCTCATGGCCTCCGTACCACTCCCTCCAATGGATACGGAGGAGTCTCAGACTAGTTTCCGGAGAAGTCTGATTCCCCACCTTAATGAATGCCTTGAGGCCTGTCCGGCCGAGTTCAGAGAATTCTCTGGGCTAGACATTGGAAAATATCGCCGATTCACCTTGCTCTTCCAGCCAAGTCTAGTTTTCACAATTCGAGAGATGATTCAAAATGCTGCGAAGTGCGGGATTTTGCATGCTGAGACAGGTGATTTTTCGAAATCCGCATATTACCTTTTTCTGGCAAAGGAGTCGCTGGTCAAGTTTTTGGGGCCAAATGACGCAAAAACGACAGCCACGATGCTGGGTCTGGCCAGTATACTTTGGGGTCTAGGGCATCTAAAAGAAGCCATAGCCTTGCAAGAGAAGGTTGTTGAGTCGCGGCAACGGGTCTTAGGACCAGATCATCGTGAGACCTTATTGGCTATGGACTCCCTTGGTCAGTCTTTCTGGCTCAATGGACAATATTGTGAGGCCCTTGAGCTTCAGCAACAAACCGCAGAGAAAATGCAGAGACATCTTGGTGAAGGGGACGATGACACGCTCAAAGCACTTGACCACTTGGGTGTCACATTAAACGCTTGGCACCGGGTTAGAGAAAGCAGAGACATACATCAAAAGGTTCTGAAAATTCGAATACAAAATCTGGAGGAGAGTGACTTGAGGGTCCTCGAAACCAAGAATAATCTGGCAATGGCCCTATTTGATCTGAGAGAGCTTGATGACGCGATATCTTTGATGGAAGAAGTCTATAACGGGCGCAAGGCTCAAATGGGCAAGGAACACCCTTACACGCTCTGGGCGCTATGCTACCTGGCGAAGATATATACGGAAGCGGGAGAGCTACAAAAGGCTGAAGGTATTCTTATCGAGGGAATTGCTGCTGGTAAACGAAGCCTTGGCGAAAATCACCTTGGGGTCTTGGTGGGCTATGGCGAACTTGCTCGAACTTATTCTCGTCAGGATCGCCTTGACGAAGCTGTGACACTTCTCACGACGACCATCGATAAGATCAAGGTTTCTCGAGGTAGCGAGCATCCTGATTACGCTACCGGAATGTGGAGTTTAGGTCTATTATGGGAGAAAAAGCAGGAGCAAAGCAAGGCCATGAATGCTTATCAAGTCGCGTTGGAAGTTACAGAGAAGAGGTTAACAGCAGAGCATCCGCTCTACAAGATTATCTCAGATCGCATCATCCTCCTAACAGAGAGCTCTCACGGCAACGACTGCCAGGAGGCTATAGAAAATGACTCGGTCACAAATGGCGTTGGGCACATGCAAATCAAACCTTTGCATACTATACAGACCTGGTAGAAAGACGGTGCTCAGCTCGTCCCTTCGACGTTTTACCAAAGAAAATACAACTAGTACTTATTTCTCTCTCATGACACGGATCCTAATACGTATCCATAAATATAAAATAACATAAAGTAGCATTTCGTACAAAAATTCAGCGAACTAAAATGGGAACAGGGTCCCATCAAAAGTCCGGAGACAGGGACCAATTTAGAGATCCCAGACAACAGATGGAATTTCTCCCTCCAGCTTCTGTTCTGCGAGAAGGGTTCCAGGAGCCCCGGAACGCTTGTCCCACTGAGCCACGGCAACACTTTGGCTGCTTTCCAATGCCACGGCAACCATAGTCTGGGTAGGTGCGATGCTGAAGTGGCGAGGGGAGGAGCCATAGGCTGGGTACAACCCGATGAAGGAAACCTTCTCAGCTTCCTTTCCACTAGGGTCAGCGCAGAGGAACACGGCGAAGGAGTCTTCCTTCGGGCCAAATGTGTTGTCGAGACGGTTGGAGACGACGATATGGTTGTTTTCAGGCTTTGGGGCAAGGTCATGTTAGCTGAAGAATCACCTTGGACAATATCTTAGGGGCAACACCCGAGACTTACGGAGATTGCAATTTCTGCGGCCTTAGAACCAGCGGGAGAAGGTTCCTTGCCATACGTGCTTCCCTCGTAGACTTTGCGGAAGGAGATCCCGTTGCCTGAATATTTGACCCGGAAACCACTCAACTCGTTGCTAAGCTCCTGCACGAGGTAAAAGTAGACATCTGAAGATGTGCTGTTCGATCCGCGGGGGGTCCAAAACGCGCCGTGTCTGGGTCCAGATCCTGGGCTTGCAACCAGAGGCTCGATCGGCTCAAGAAGACCTGTCGATTGGTTGACACGGAAGACGCGGACGACATCAGCTCCAAGGTCGGGTACAAGGACGAACCGTCCGGTAGGGTCGACAACTACTCCATGGGGATGGGGGGCATCTTGGCGAGCGGCGTTCGGACCAGGAGCGGCCATCTGGTAGGTGAAGGTTTGTTCATGCTTGAAAAGTCCCTGGACAGGGTCCACGGAATACGTCGTGACAGAGGATCCTGAGCTATAATACCAGAGCAAAGTCAGCTCGTACCATATTACGTGCGACTATCTCTAGGGATTCGATCGAAACTTACTAGTGTGCCACAGCTAGGAACTTGCGTCCCAAGACCCCAGGTGCAGAGTAGGTGGCAGACATGACAGGGCCGGAAATGGTTTTCAGTTGCGCAAGCTTGGTGAGTGCCCCATCTGAATGAGTTTTGAAGGTGGTAATAGTGCCATTGGGAGCATCGATACCTTCGTCGAGGCAGTACAAGACATCATTGGGACTATCAAGCATCAACCAAGACGGGCTGCTACCGCACTCAGTTGTCTCGGAGAGGGTAGACAGCTCGGCGGAACTGGAAAAGTCCAATGAGGTGACAAGACCAGCGTACGATGCCGCATAAAGCCTTGTAGCAAGGGCAGCCTGCCCGAAAAGGGAGGCTGCAAAGAATATAGAAAATGTCTTCATTGGAGTTGTTCCTTCTGCTCTGGTAATCGGATGGCAAGCTTTGAAAATGAAGAGACGACTGAGGTAGTTAACACTTTTTCTATCTCTGACAGTTTGTTAGGGCAAGATGGAAATGAATGAATTCCCCACCGGTCCACTCATCTTAGATGTATAATTTCCCCTTGTATTCCTATTGATTGAGGCAGTGTAAACTTGATAGGGGATGGATGTCTCTTATCGGGCACATGGCGCACAAGGTTCCCCGTTCATTTGCCACTCTTGGCGCCAATGCTATTTTGAGTTTTTGACGACATTCGTCCTTTCTCGGCTTGCCGAAAATGGACCCGATCGAATACGATGCCGATTGGTAACAAATAGAGGCCCAGATCGAGGCCCAGATCGAGGCCTAGGAGAATAACTTCAAATTACGAAGCATTCTTGGGCGAGACTTTCATCTTCGGTCTATTTTCGGAATTTCCTTATCAATCATGCATGCTTCATGAATTATACGAATTACATGGCTTACAAGGTTAGCCAAAGTTGCCTTTGCTGTTTCGATTCACAAGGTTCTCAGAAGGAAATTCGAGTTCCCTGGCTGTTTTCAAAAGTCTACAGTCTACACTTCATATGCTGAAATCGACGTTCATACAGTCCATACACTATCACGCCCAGTTCCAATTCAGACCTCGATTTACTTACAACGCTACTAATGGACTTCAACCCCTGAAACTCTGTACCTAGACATAGTATGAATATGTACAACATAGACATACGGAGTAACTAGTGATCTAGTGCTGACATTAAATGTCAGGAAGATCCACTTCCTCGTATCCCAATTTAACTATCTGCATAGAAGGAGAGTAGAAGGATTTGATTTCACGCTATTTCACACTGGGCTGATGAATTTCCCGCCACTCAGAGAAGGTAATCTCGCCTTTCAGCACAGGTACCGACCCACGAGGTTGGCTATTCCTCCCAGATAGGACACCGGTGCATGAAAGTTAAGATGAATATAGTTTGACCGGTCCCAGGCACCACCCTGCCAAGATGTGCAGAAGTCTATCCTGCAGATCAGCCGGTAGATTTCATTTCTTGGACCTGAAGATTGATAGCTCACCCCTATTGCACCGTCCCACGTGTTGTATGCGGACTCGTGGAGCCCTCCGTGGGTTTCATTCAATCATTCGAAGTTCGGTATTAGTATAGTTTCAAAACAGAAGACGCAATTCTTTCGAACATATATATTTGATGCTTCCGATCGTCGTTTTATGAACACCAACTCATTCCTTTCCTTTCAATTCTGACATTGACCTCCGGGCCATTGTTCCTCATCATGAAGTCTACTATCATCACTTCCATTCTCTTGTCTGTGGCTGCCGTCCAGGCCTACACCCCGGCCGAGCAGCTCGATGTCCAGTCTCACCTACTTTCCGACCCCAACAAGGTCCAGGGAAGGACTTACGACTATGTCATTGCCGGTGGTGGTTTGACTGGTCTGACCGTGGCTGCCAAGCTGTCTGAAAACCCGAAGATCAGAGTCCTCGTGATTGAGAAGGGATTCTACGAATCCAACGATGGACCAATCATCCAGGATCCTAACGCCTATGGTGAGATCTTTGGAACTTCTGTGGACCAGAACTATCTCACGGTTCCCCTCATCAACAACCGAACTGGAGAAATCAAGTCTGGTCTCGGTCTTGGTGGCTCGACCTTGATCAACGGTGATTCCTGGACCCGTCCTGACAAGGTCCAGATTGACTCATGGGAGAAGGTCTTCGGCATGGAGGGCTGGAACTGGGACAACGTGTTCGAGTACATGAAGAAGGCTGAGCGCTCGCGCCCCCCTACTGCCGCCCAGATTGAGGCTGGTCACTTCTACGACCCTGCCTGCCATGGAACTAACGGTACCGTCCATGCTGGCCCTCGCGACAACGGCAAGCCTTGGTCCCCCCTGATGCGTGCCCTCATGAACACCGTCTCCGCTGTCGGTGTCCCCGTCCAGAAGGACTTCCACTGCGGCCACCCCCGTGGTGTCTCGATGATCCCCAACAACCTCCACGAGAACCAGATCCGTGCTGATGCCGCTCGCGAATGGCTTCTTCCCAACTACGAGCGCCCTAACCTGCAGATCCTGACTGGCCAGAAGGTCGGAAAGGTCCTGTTCAACCAGACCGAATCTGGCCCTAAGGCTGTTGGCGTGAACTTCGGTACCAACAAGGCTGTTAACTTCAATGTCTACGCCAAGCAGGAAGTTCTGTTGGCCGCTGGATCTTCTATCTCTCCTTTGATCCTCGAGTACTCCGGTATTGGTACCAAGGACGTCCTTGACAAGGCCGGCGTCGAGCAGATCCTCGAACTCCCTGTTGGTCTCAACATGCAAGACCAGACCACGACCACTGTTCGCTCCCGCGCCAACAACGCTCCTGGACAAGGCCAGGCCGCTTACTTCGCCAACTTCACCGAGGTTCTCGGCGACCACGCTGCCCAAGGTATTGAGATGCTGAACACCAAGCTTGACCAGTGGGCCGAGGAGACCGTTGCCCGTGGTGGTTTCCACAACGTAACTGCCCTCAAAATCCAGTACGAGAACTACCGCAACTGGCTCCTCGATGAGGATGTTGCCTTCGCCGAGCTCTTCTTCGACACTGAGGGCAAGATCAACTTCGATATCTGGAACCTTATCCCCTTCACTCGCGGTTCCGTCCACATTCTCAGCAGTGACCCTTACCTCTGGCAATACGCTAACGACCCCAAGTTCTTCATGAACGAGCTTGATCTTCTCGGTCAGGCCGCTGCCACCAAGCTGGGTCGTGACCTCTCCAACGCCGGTGAGATGAAGAAGTACTACGCTGGCGAGACCATTCCCGGCGACCTCCTGGCCCAGGATGCCACTGTTGAGCAGTGGGAGGACTACGTGCTGATGAACTTCCGTCCTAACTGGCACGCTGTGAGCACCTGCTCCATGATGGCCCGTGAGCTTGGTGGTGTCGTTGACGCTACTGCCAAGGTCTACGGTACCCAGGGTCTCCGTGTCATTGATGGCTCCATCCCTCCTACTCAGGTCTCCTCTCACGTCATGACCGTTTTTTACGGTATGGCCTTGCGGATCGCCGAGTCCGTCCTTGCGGACTACGCCAAGAAGGCTTAGTTGGACTATTTTGCGTGGGCGATCATTTTGGCAGGAGAGAGATTTGGTCGCCCCAATAGTTGGGAATCCGTTCCCCCTTTTGGATTTGCGAGAGGACTCCGCACTCAATAATGTCCTGACTTTGATTGGAAGTCATCTATCCCTTGCCCCCGTTCATTGTTGTTGTCTTTTGTTATTTAGTTTCACGTGTATACTTGTTTGTACCAGACTTATAGGTTTAAGATTTTGGATAGAAAATATTAAAAAAAAAAGACTTTTCAGGGGCAAGAAACGAAATTTCTCAATAGCATGAAGCGAAAAGTCCCCCGTGAATAAATAGTGTTTTTTAAAATTTAGAAGGCCGTAGATCCGACAAGTTAGAGTTAGCCCATACCCACTTATTTGGGGTCTAACGGTTGGGCTTCCCTTGGTTCGGTGTGAATGATCTGGATTACTGTGCATGAAATGAAGACAAATAATATAAGAGGTGGAGATTATGATCTATTATGCACGGAAATGAGTCTTGTCATCCCGGTGGACTGGGTAGAAAATACATGAACTAGTTAGTGCCTCAGTGCTTACAGAAGTATATTGGTGGCTATATTGGTGGCCGATCAGCAGCTCATCTCCTCTACTGCAGCACGTGGGAACCCTTGAAACACAAATTAGATCGAGGACCCACTCCTATTATTGGCAGAAGGTCCCCAACGAGCAGCAAACATATGAATATTGAACTCTAGGGAGCCACTACGCCATACGAGGTCAACCGTTTAGAAACATCGGTTAATGGAAAAGCACAATAATACTTGCAAGGCGATTCAAATCGTTCAGAATTGCAAACGACTGAAATTAACAAAAAGCCAGTAAGACTAGGATTGAATGCATGATGACAAACATATCTCAGACAGTTCCGAAGGTGTATGTGGCCAGGTTCACGGCAGGGGCGGTCTCAGGAGAGAAGATCACATTGGATTCCTGGCCCCATTGTGGGTTGTTGACAGAGTCAATCCAGCCCTCGGGCTCAATCGCCAGACAACCATATTTCTCGACAAATCCAGCAGCTCCCTCAATTTCCGAGTTCCGCTTAACCTGAGAACGCTTCACAGGAATGGTTCCATCCATGTTCAGACAGGTGAAGAACTGCACAGCGGGTTGGTTGGTTGCAACGTCCATGCTAATTCCTGTGGAGCTGGAGTTCAATCGGAGAGCGGTAACAAGTGCGTATTGGGCAGAGGTGGAGTCACGGTCAATGATAAAGCAGTTGTCGTATCCCACGTCACTGCCAACAAGGCCTTGGGTGTATTGCATGTCACGACCGATGATTTTGCCGGCAGTAAAGTCCATCGTTTGGTGATCGGTCTCATCCACGGTGGAGATGTCTCCGTTGGGGACTTGAAGGCTGTCCGTGGCAATGAATCGCTGAGACAGGGGCATTTGCAGCCATGTGTCATTTAGGACAGTCGGCTGCTGGAAACCATTCAGGTTCCAGTAGATATGGTTGGAGAGCATTATCGGAGTGGAATGGTTGAGAGCCTGGGAGACCAGCTTGGTCGTCAGCCGGGGACGTCCTTGCGGGTTCTCAGCTGTGGCCTTGGTGTCGACACTGTATGTAGCCCGCGTCTTGACGTCGCCTGGGAAACCTTGGAATGCAGCGTCGTAGAGCTCAAACGTGACAGAGGAACGCGTGGATGAAACCACGGTCCAGTTTCGCTGATCATAGCCAATATCTCCGCCGTGCAGCGTATACAAGCCGTCATGGTTCTTGGGAATGTGATATTCGGTTCCGCCTAGCTCGAAAGTGCCATTCTTGATACGGTTGGCAATGCGGCCAATGACGGCTCCGAAATAGGTATGGCTGGTTTCGGTATCTTCCAGAAACTGACGGGGATTGTCGTAGCCGACTACAACGTCCTGCTCATTGCCATTTCTGTCCGGAACTAGCAGAGAGATCAACCGCGCTCCGTATGGAATGAACTTGGCCGTGATATTGTCGGCGGAGATTGTGAAGACCTTGAAGGGATCCACAGAGCGCGCAGGGGAATCGCCGCGACCGAGGGCGATCGGGACAAAAAGACATGCTGCAATGTACTGCTTGAGATACATTTTGGAATTTGATAAAAAGAATGTTAAGCAGGAGTGCCACGCGTAAATAAAAATAAAAGCGAACGGAAGATTTATGAACTGAAGGTGAAGGGATTCCTTCTTAAATCAAGCGCATCGATATACACAGCTTGTTGCAGTGTTGCACCGCTAGCGCCATTCCGGACCACGACGGATGAGAACGGATCACCTGTGACACGGGGCCGCCCCCTAGCTCTGTCTCGGGCGGGAAGTTGTCGGCATGCCGAGCTTATTCTAGGCAAACCCATGGTACGGTTCTTGGCGAAGATAAGGTTTAGCCACTAAATCTTAAGGTTTCCCTGAAATCTGATTTAATGATTTGCACCTGGGCAGGTCTAGGCTCTGACTGCATCAATCCTGCCAATATATTTTTGGACAAGGATGCATAGAGCTGAGTCAGACCAAACGACTCGCTTTATCAGGACGCGCCCTGTCTTAAGCAGGCCAGGCCATACGTGAACTAGATGTCAGGAGGGGCTTTGAAGTGCCGTAAAGAGAGTTTCACTCATCCAGTTGCGAAGGCTGGACGTTTCAAATTTCGTGCCACGTGTCTGATAAATCTCGAGACAAAGTAAGGGATGTTGTGTGAAGCACGTCTTAGGTCTAAACTTAGCTTTTTACGAGGACTTTCTCACGTTTAACAAATCCTCCGAAATTTCCCCGTTCGTCAATCGAAAAATATCATGCATGGAAACGTCATGGGTGGACCTCAATCAGAACAATATAAATGTGTATGGACTATGTAGTATTCATTCAACGCAAATTCGATCAAGCGGAACCAATCATTAGGCCCATAAGGCGCACTGGGGCCACTGGCCTGCCCATGTGGCTCGTGAGGCCGTTGTGCATGGACGACATGTCGAGGGCAGGTTGAGATATCGGGTCAATGTGTTGAATTCAATACTCGATACTCACTGTCTACAACGCCAAAGGTGCAAATTTGGCCAACTTTATATACGAGAAAGCAAATGAATGCGTAGTCTCATGCACCCAATGAAAAAGGTCGTCGAACTTGATCCTCCGACATGCTGTTTCCCTTTGCCCTATAGGATGCGGGATTCATGAGAATTTTGGTTAAGCTTTGTAAGGATTCCTAGTGAAAGAGATAGACAGGGGTCTTGGGGCTGACTGTACCTGCATACATTAGACTTCCGGTGAATTACCGGTAGTACTTTCTTTGCGACGGGTCGATTTCATCATCGTCTTTGGCTAGGATTTAATGGGGTTTCATTAGGGTGAGTAATTATTTCCGTGACACGCGAGAGCGTGGGTTACGAACGGGCGCCCCAATTCCTAGCGGATGAGGCTCAGAGGGTCAAGCATTCCCCCCTGAGCAGCAGGCTTTTGGCACGCTGAAGATTCTCCTCAGTAAATACTGATGCACTTCAATGATGTTTCATGATGTTTCCCTACTATCCAAAATGTAATGTGTGGTCTTAAAAGCATAACTCTTTTCCAATACATCATTTTCCACAGGTCAAGTCACTGCATACATATCTTGACCGATTCTTTCTGGCTTTATAGATCAATGTCATCGTGCCAGTTCCACAATGTTTACTATCTAATGACTTGAAATTGAATATCCTCCAACTGCTTGAATTATTGTTCCTAAAAAGTAGTCACGTAATTCAAATCTATCCACCACAACATCCACCTTCAAACCTGGCCGAAATGGCCAAATACACTTCTCAACGTATTGAGAGGTCAGTTCCCCATAGACCCCCACCAAGAGTATGGTCCATTTTGAATCTACCATTCCAATGACCAACCCTTTCCAGTCCAAGCCGAGGCACTGGACAGGGAAACGACCAGGGTGTTCTTGTCAGCATCGAAGTGGACGTTATTGCCGGGCACAACCTTTCCATTGAACTTGATAGGGCGCTTCGTCTTCTCAACACCCCAAATGGTAACGTTTCTGAGACTGTTCTCTTCAACCCATCCACCATGCTCAATGGTGGTTTCAAGCTTCCTGTTCTCGACCTTGAATTCCGCATGAAGCACGGCGTCTGGTGTAATGCTGACTCCATCGTCAAGGTAGAGCTTTCCAGTTGCGCTGCCGTCCTTGCCCAGTGCCACCAGGATATCCCAGGGGCTGTTTCGTGCGTCTCTGGTGGTGAGTGCAGCTTGCTGAAGGGGCAAGACGGAACCTCCACGGGCGTAGACGGGAATGTGGCCGAGAGGGGCGGGGATAGTTGTGTTCGCTTGGGCAGGCACGGGGACGGCGGTGTTTTTGTACCAGTCATACCAGACTTCCTCGCCTTCGATAAGGCCAGGGAAGACACCGTTCACGGATGTTGCACCCTGTTCGAGGACAGGAATAACCATGATAGAGGGACCCAGCATGAACTGGCGATCGGCATTAGCGAGAGATGGATCGTTAGGGAACTCCCAAGCGAGAGCCCTCATGACTGTCTCAGCCTTTGTGTGGGCGTGGTAGAAGAGCGTGTACATGTAAGGTAGAAGCTGGTATCGAATAGCCATAGCCGTCTTGCTGGCATCGATAACAGAGGACCATCTATATGCTTCCTGGCTGATGGCACCGATGATGTTATGGTTTCTATAGAAGGGGAAGAAAGCGCTCAATTGCATCCAGCGGTTGCACAGCTCCATATCAGTGTTATCGGCAAATCCACATGTGTCAGCTCCAAACATGGGAATTCCTAGGAGCGACATGGAAAGAGCCTGCGGGATGGAAAAGAACATACTTGGCCAGTTAGACCAGTTGTCACCACCCCAGTGGGCGGCGTACGATCCGGAACCGGCGAATGTTGAGCGACCAAGAATGAAGGGCCGCGCATCGGGAGAAATAGCAGAGAGAGCATTATATGTGGCCTTGAGGATACCATGACCCCAAAGGTTGTGCATGTCATATTCGAGTGTGCCGTCTGCGTGGGTTGCGTTGGGCGAGATAGCACCCACAGCCAAGGCGCCCTTGACATTGTTGATCTCATAGGGAGGGTAGTTGACATCGCGAACACCCGGAGTAGGGGTGGTGCGGACGTAGGAAGTGGGAGTGGCAGAACTGGTCGGATAAGCACTGGACCAGGAGGCGCGTGCTGCTGAAGCAGAGGCAGCTTCGGTGGCGTTGGTTTTGTTGAATCCTTCGGGGTAGATAAGAACCGGGTTGGCAGCCTCTCCAGGCAGGGCAAAAGGAACATGCACAGGTTGGAGGGTGAGGTTGTTACTTCCGCAGCTTCCAACGCAGAAGGAAGAGATTTCACTCATATCAATCCATGCACCATCGTACCCGGTGATCTGGTGGTATCTAACCATCTCGTCAATCCACCATTGCTCAGTGCCTTCGGCCAACCAGTCAGGGAAGACAGTGTATCCTGGCCAGACAGCACCGACATAGATGCTGCCATCGGGGTTTGTCAGGAAAGCTCCAGCTTCGTTTCCTCTCTCGAAGACAGGGTATCTGGGACGAAGTAAGCCTAATGAAACCAGTCCGCAAGAAAATCAAAGCACTTACGCGTCCTCCGGGACCTCCGGGTTGGGAATGTAAATGGCTGAATCGATGATTGGAACATAGTGTCTACCACTGTCATGGAGACGCTGAATGAAACCCTTGCTTGACTCGTCATCAAACCCTTCAGGGTCGTTTTCAAAGTCGCGGTAACGAAGCATCCAGTCAATATCAGTCCTTGAAGAAATATTGTCAGTCGAGCTGCCTTTTTCCTTTCCCTTGGGACTTGGTCCTTTTATTCGGCACAAAGGTACAAGAGTCAGTGAGATAACTTACCAAATAGTTTCCATCGGGATGCCAAAGGACGTGTAATTGTTCACGACATCCTCGAGTTCTGCCCAGCTCTTGTATCCCCACCGACATTGGTGGAAACCAAAGGTCCAGTACTGCTGCATCGCAGGCAAACCGACAGTAGTCAAGTATGATTTGGTGATCTCTGGTTGACTTGGGCCTGGGAAGAAGTATAGGTCGATGCTGCCACCAATAGCCCGGTAGGTAATGCTGTCTTCCTGCATCAAGATATCTTGTCCATGCGCGTTTCGAGAATACACTCCATGGGACACAGATGTGTAGTTGGAATTTGGACTGGCTTCGTCGCTTGTTACCAGTGTGAGGCTGCCATCAGCTTCCTCCTTAAAGTAACGGGTCTCCAAGTAGAAAGGGTGGGTGCCGTAAACGTTGCTGTATCTCCGTTAGCAGACATACGGAGAATAAGCTATAGTAGTCTTACATATCAACGGTGGCGCCAGCATCTGCCGCATAGTAGGTCTTGGTGTAGTTGTTTCCCAGTTTGAATCCATGGATCGACTCGCCCAATCCATACAGATTGTAGTTCTCAGGGAGGGAGCTCTTGAATTCAACAAACTGGTTCTCAAAGACAAGTTTCGTTCCCTTGGTAGAGAAAAGAACATCTTTGGTTGACTTCCTGGTCACTTCAAATCCGAAGCTTGGGTCATTGGTCCAGGAGAATTCCAAGTCCGAGACGACGTTGGACTCCTCCACCTTTGCTTCAGCCAGATAACCCGGAGGAATAACGTAGTGGGTTGCATTCTCTGCGCCGATGTAGGTTGGCACGATCGCAACACGCAGTCGGTCCTCACGCTGATACTCGACAGTGAGACTCAAAGAGTCAATATCGGTACCATAGACATTGCATGCATTTCCGGCGAGAGCAAGAGAAGCGGTGAAGCCAGAGGCAGTCTGTTGGACATTGGAAGCAGTGTATCCCGGGCAGACGGTCTGTGCGTCCACTGCCTGTGGGTCCTTGATATTGGGAATCATGGCAGGAGCGACATTTGCGTCAGCGGGCACAGTGAACTGAGCGGAGGCAGAGGAAGTTGGCGAAGGAGTGGATGTCTGCGCCTGAGCAATAGCACAGAATGCAGACAGTCCACCAAGGACACCTCCCCAGGTACGTGGGATGCCCATGACGAAAGATGAAAGAAGTAATGCCAGTGATCTAGGCAGGATTCTCAATTATCCCTTGGTAGATACTGGGCACTTGGAACATTTAGGTATGAAGGGTCATATTTATATCTCACTATACGAGCACAATGTATGTTGTACATCCAACATATGCAACATGGATATCATCATTAAATAGAACTTTGGAATCTCTGGTAACCCCAGATGGGGAAATGATCAGTGGGTTAACCTTTCCCCATTCGTTCCAGAGTTTTAGCAGTCACTCCCATGGAAGCAGCCTTGGGCATGATTGCCCAGGCAGGTGGCTTGGCTGAACCTTTTTCCTTCCTTGGCTCGGATGTCGCATCAGTTCCCGAGGTCCACCTTACATTTCACCGAGATTGTACCTTATCTATTCCCCACCTCGGCTTGGCACGCTTGGCAGCGCCGTTGATCTAAAAGATAGGCTTTTTCGGAGGTGCACAAACAGTGGCGTGAGGAATACGAACATCACATCATCTTTTCTAGGATTAGTTAGATGTAAAGCCAGTTGCCTTCTGAAAGTCCTTGATCTTATATCAAGATTTACTAAAGCGTCATTGCAATTGACACATTGGACGAGTATCTACTGCCTGGTGGAACACGTGTCACCCTAAAAGCATTTTCGCACTCCAGGCAAGATACGAGCTGCGCTTCCTGGTCACCTCGGGAGGCCACCCGGTGCTTACGGTAAGTTTTGACGGCAGGCCTTGCTTGAGGACCCGTGGGCACGAGGACGACAGTGAGACGTCTCCTCGACGCTAGATAGGCCAGGTGGATGTCCTTCGCGTTCTGTCCAGCGGGAACTAGAATTGTAGAAAGAGTTTATCGTCGAAATTACCAAGGCTGTCGATAGAGTGATAGTAACGCCATGGTCGAGAATACCTACAACATAGGTAATATCGGGCTCTTTCAAGGTTGTTTCTGTTCCCTCGCCGGAGAAATCGATCCATTGAAACACTATGATTTGAAAGAATCTAAAGGGAGTCCGCATTGTAATATCCATTTCTTTCACCGAAAGTCGCTTGGTCGGTCATTGGTTCCGCGCCTCCCTATCCAGTCCTCCCCAACAAATTTCCCAAGTTTCTCTCGATTCTGGACTGAAGTCTGAGTTCTTCTAGCTTCATTTCATGTCTTGTCAGTTGGCAAGGCTCAGCGAGTGTGTGATGAGGAGTTTCAAGGACTGATGAGTCCATTGTTCAATTATCTGTGCTTTCCGATTCCTCCGTTCATTCTGATAATAAAGCCAATGAGAAGGTCGTCGAAGGACCCGTTATAGTTGTTTGTATAGGCATACCTCACATTAGATATTTCTGAGAAATACCAGCACATCTCCGGCCCGAACAGTGTCACCTGGTGGGACTAGCACCTTCTCAATCCTGAAAATCTTATCAATATCATTCTTCTTGTCTCCATGGTAAGAGACGGAGACTTCCCATTGCCTCAAGAATGGCAACAACTTTAGCAGAGCAGATAATATCGCCATCTGCAACGTTGACCTTCCACACGTTTGTATCGAGGGGGGCATACAATGTCAGAATGTCAGGGTCTGGTAATGTCCTGTTAGTATACTAAAATGACCAATTTATCCGTAAACTATTGAGCTCACCTTGTCTCAGGAGTGAGACTTCATCGGCAGGAACGCTGTTCTGCGCTTTCTCGGCCATCCACCTGTCCATGGATTCCTTTTCCAGGGCCAACGTTCCTACTTGCGCTGCGGCTTGCCGAGACTTGACTGCCGCTACTTCGTCTCTCGTCTCGTCGAGAAGACGGTTGTGGGCGATCATATCGAAGGTGACATCTTCGAACTGGAACTTGTAAGAACTAGGGCGGAAACGAGCTATATCACATTCAAGCTCTTCCTTCTCTACTCGGTAGAAGGTAATCTGGTCTAAGTCACGGAACAGGCCCGGTTGGCTTGGCAAAAGGTCCGGTTTGACTCCCAACTGGTCCAAACAGGGAATGGTTTGGCCAGTCATCTGATATCCCCCAGGGGAATCAACGGGGTAGATGCTGTTACAAGTAGCATGTTAGTTTCATCATCATCAGCAGTGCGGGAAAAGACTTACTTCATACATAATCCACCCCAGCTGACACTTCCCTCTAGGGTGTACACTCGACTAGGATTCTGCTTGGGGCATATTAAGAGGTAGTGGGGATCAACCGGGAGACGTATAGTATCGCAGCAGCAGAACCCGACACAAATTGCCACGAATTCCACTGAAAGGAAAATGTCGACCAATTCATCATGCGTAATTCCGTTGGCCTTAGCCACGAAGTCTATGTTACTCGGCAAGTATGGAGCATGTGGCCTTTGTGTCTCCATATATCGTTGGACGGCTTCCTCTTGAGCCGGGCTCTCGAAGCAGATAGGAAGACGGAACTTGCGGCTTGGGACTTTTGAATTTCTCAGATAGCCGACAGTCCTTTGACGATGCCAGAAGGTCGATAAGCCTGTCCTGGGAGAACTTCAAACCGTAATAGTGGATTAGGACTGCTTTAGTTGACCATCCATTAGCCCAGGTCAAATATCAAAGGAGCTGGACAAGGAAACTGACAATTGCAGCATCCTGTGGTCTTATAGACACTTCGCCTCAAATCTTCGTATGGCTCTTGAGACTTGTTGAAAGCCCGCTCCAGCGCTCTAACTTGGCAGCGATGATTGAGATTGAATTTTCCATCGCCAAACCCGACCAACAAGAACTCATCTCCACCCTGACAGCAGCATTTAGAGATTAATAGCTGTAGTAGCTTTGACTATCTCTTACCTGTCTGAATGTCATATGAATACCAGATTCACTTAGCTCAGTGCGGTAAACCAATGCTTTTCCTCGGTTTCCAGAGATCGTTGACTCTGGCAGCGCCGAGCCAGAGATTGGCTCGATGGTATTTAGATCGAACTGGCTGGCTACGAGTGCCGACACATTTTCAGAAAGTTCTCTATTTCAGCATGAATATGAAGAGCATCTTTCAAAGATACTCCGCGTATGAATCGTGTCGCCCGATTTCAGTTGACCCATCCGCCACAGACTGCCTTTCACAATTGTAGTGGAGGAAATAAAGCCGCCGAGATCAGGGGCATCCACCGGGAAGATGCAAGGACTGAATATGTTAATTAAGCCAGTACAATAAACGCCATAAAGATATTCACAACTAGGGCTCACCTGTCTCCCGTCCAGTTCAATGTCCCGGTAGGGTACCCGTACTCAATCACGTTGCTAGGGTGTTGCCCACCCTCGCCCGCTTCTTCTCTTGCCCATCCATGAGCAGGTCCAACAAGGCCAATGCCCCCTCTTGTAGAATTATGCGAAACGTTCCTAAAACCAAAGAGTTAGCAGTGTCCCATAATACCCCCTCCCACCTTGACTGTTGGCATGACATACCAAACTGTGTCATAGATCATGTCGATATCTTCGGATACAATGTAACCCTCGTCGTACGGCCCAACCATGGCATAGATGTCCCAGTGATGGGGGTAGATAGGGCGCAAATGGGAGGGCAATGACACCTCGGGCCCTGCCTCAAGTGCATGGAGCTTTGCAATGACCAGCATAACACCCGGAGTGAGCGATCTTCCTTGATACCCACCAATCCCGGGTAGAGGAAATGTCGACTTTGACCGAAAGTACGGGGCACTGCGCGTATAATTAGTTCTGAAGCCAAACTGCAAAATCCACATATAGCTCACATAGCGGGAAATCCTCTAAGAACAGCGACATATACTATGAGCAAGTTAGCAAAATACACCCGGAACATAGAACGTATCATACCTCGACAGCCTCCGGGTCCACTCAGCTTTCCGATAAATAATACTTGCCTAGTTTGATACAAAGTCGTGTCCACATCGGGACGTCGGTCCCGTCAAGTGTCATGTCCATTGGAGCACCGCAGATAGATATGCATGCAGGAGTTAAGAATCGTAGCTCCGGTCCCTCTAATGTGATTTCCAGACCTTCGGTGCTGGAAGGATTCCCAGCCAAAAACTTGGCAACTGCAAGCAAAAGGTACTATCAGAACCCTTATCGCGTAAGGTGAAGAAAGCAAGAGACGTGTGTACCTTGAATTGCCAAAGGGTCCTGATATCTAGATGCAAGCTCATGGATAGTATTAAAGGTCCAGAGAGTTTATCTTACCATTGGTCTTGCTCGTGGAATTTCCCGCCCAGCTGTTGGGTGCCTGGATACTCTTGTACTTTTGCATACACACCTTGCGATATGACATCAATCGCAGCCGGGCTGAACTCGAAGTCGCTTAAGAAAGTGGTAAAGTTCGCCCCGTGCTGAATGTACTAGACGGGACAATGGCATGCAAGAAGTGAAAATTGCAATTTGTTGGTGGTCCACAGATGGTCGAGTGAGAGAGGACCTCCCCCAATTTTTCAATGGCCGCCGTGCGATTGGAATCATGTACCATCACCTTTGCAATCATAGGGTCTATAATTATGGAGTCAGACTATGTCCTCAGATGAACTACTGTCATATGTCACAGACCGTAATATGCGGAAATTCGAGTTCCAGTATTGACCCATGTGTCAATCCGACTGCCGCTCAGCTCTCTCCATTCCATTCAACATGTTGAAGCAATCCAGGAGGGAGAGCAATTCCGAGCAGGGTTCTCTGCGTACATGCGAGCTTCAATCGCACAGCCTGAAGGGTTGTCCGGCTGCAAAGACCCCAGATAGCTCTTGTCCAGACCTCCGAAGTCGCATACTCCCAGTCGGCTTGTTGAAGCATGAGCTTTACCAAATCCAGTCCATAACAGAGCTCAGTGATACCGTGCTCAACTTGAAGACGAGTGTTCATTTCCAGGAAGAAGAAATCTCCCTATCCGTCGTCAACAAGATATTCCACTGTTCCTGCAGATCCATATCGAACGGATTTAGTCAAAGCGACGGCCGCAGAGGTGAGTTTCTCACGAAGACCTGAGGCTAATTAGCGGTGGCACGTAAGCCGTCATATATAGTAGTTGCCACTAACCTAAGTGCTTTTCCACGAACGGGCTGGGCACTCTTCGACAACATTTTAATGTCGGCGTTGAATCGAGCACTCCCGTTCTCCGACATGAATTGCATCCCCAGGCCATTACCAAACACCTGGACCTCGATGTGATGACTCTCAGGATAGTAACGCTCCATGAATACCCCTGCATTCTTGAACAAAGTCTCTCCCTGGGAGCGGACTTGTGCCAAAGACTCTCGGACTTCTTCCACTGATTTGCATATTAGTAGTCTTTTCCGACAGCAAGCAATCCGAGAGGAGTACAGGGTATCCTAATTTATTTGCTGCTTCCACTGCCTCGTCCTCTGCCCTGTGTCCCGGGGACAATTGGAACACCGGCTGCTACAGCGATCTCACGAGCCCGATGCTTCAGCCCAAAAGCTTCAATGGCTTCGGGCCTAGGGCCCACAAACACCATCCCGGCATTGGCGATAGCTTGGGCGAATTCCACATTTTCCGACAGAAGTCCATAGCCCAGAATCATGGTATCAACTTGATGGGAACGGGCGATCTCTATGCTTGCATCTCTATTGAGCCATGATTTCGTCAGTTCCGTAGAGAAAGCAAATTTGATGGCAGGGGATAAACCCATTGATGTATGCGGTAGAAGCGTCCCCTGGTAGCAGGACCGCCTCATCTGCTGCTAGAACGTGCTGTGAAGTTCCGTCGGGAGCAGTGTAAATTGAAACCGTACCATTCCTGTACACCAGTCCACGCTCATTGACCAAGGCGGGGGTATCACTTCGCTTGTTACCAACAGTCTCAAGCCCTATTAGATCAACTCCAAAGGCCACCGGCTCAATGGTGTATTTCTGCCCTAGTTCTCCAGCTGCATATGATAAGAAATTCCCAGGAGCCTCTGTGATTAAGTAGAGCCGGATCTTATAACGGAGTTGGGGGAGGTCAGATAAGAAACACGTATTACAGAATCAATTTCTTTGCTTCTTCCTTTAAACCCAAGTATATTCGCCTTTTGAACTCAACAACTTCAAACCAAAAGGATTATTCTTGTATATGCAGAAATATCATTTGTTTCTGTTCTGGAACATTGCTGTTTTACTCTAACATAGTCATCTGGTCTTGGGTTCAAATTACGAGTCTGACTGAGGGCCTCAAAAGTCATCAATCAAAACGGACTGCCGCAGCAACGTATATATACTGAGTATATTGGTGAGCGGAATCGGCTTGACCTAACCGCAAAGATGGACGATCCCCTTTCCCATCCCCGGAACCGTCCAGCAAGTGGATTTAGATCACAGCCTGCGTCAGAGACATAGTAGAGAGCAAGAAGATATTGTCCTGATTCCTGTACCAAGGTCTCATCTTGATGACCCTCTCAATTGGTCCCCCTATCGGAAATTTCTGAACAGCACTTTTCAAATGGCCTGGTCCTTCTTCGCTGGCGCCCTTATCAGTGGTTTATTATCTGCCTACCTCCTGATATCCGAAGATACAGGTTCCCTGTCGCAGATCTCAGCACAGAAAACGGCCTCATGTATCTCTGCATGGGCTGGGGTACCTTGTAGACACAAAACCTTGCGCAGGACTTTGGTCGTCGCCCGGTCCTGTGGTTGGCATGCTGGGATCGTCGGTGTTGCAGATCTGGTCTGCGTATATAAAGTCTGTGGGTGAATGGTACGCCAATCGAATTCTTCTCAGAATTTTCATTTCACCCCAGGAAGCCTTGATCGAGCTCTGTATTGCGGATATCCACTTTGCCCATGACCGAGGCTTCCGCATGGGTATTTATAACTGGACTTTGCGCTGCGGTGCTTTCCTGTCACCTATCACTGGCGGTTTTGTCGCTGAAGCTATGGGCTGGAGATGGATCCAGTACAAGTACATCCTGGCCATTATATGGTTCTGCTTCACAGTCGCAACGTTCTTCGGCTTGGAAGAGACTATGTTCTTCCGCCAAGTGAATATTCAGGGACGGGTATTTTGCAAAGGCACCGTCGCCGTGTAGTCCACCCACAGTACTGACGGAAAATTTGTCTTCGAATCCAAAGAGACAGAGAGTCCTGGTTTTAATCCTGTGGTTGACGAAGAGAATTACAAAATTACAACATACGTCCAGAGGCTGAATCTGTGGGCTTTGAGACATCCTTCTCAGCCATTCAACTTCTTTCGGTCGATCTTCCTTTCCTTCCGGCTTCTATGCTTCCCCACAAACATATTTTCCGGTCTTCTCGTGGGAAGTATTCTCGCCTGGTGCAATGTTCTAGGAGGCTCCTTAGCGAAAGTCCTGGGCGGTGCCCCCTATAACTTTTGAAGAGCGGAGCTCGCTATGGAAACGGATCGCAGAGTATTTTCCTAGAAGGTCGGAAGGCTCCCTCCAGGTGCGCTATTACGCACGCCTAAAAGGCCACAAGGCTAGAAATTCTGGGCATTTTGGGCGGAGTTCCAATGTGAGGAGCGATTCTTTATACAGAGGCGCACCTTGCGAGGCAGTGCAAGACGCGGGTGGCGAGAGTAAAGGCACCGAAGAAGGTGTGTCAAGACAGCGATACGGTCCACCTCGGCGTAGGCAAACGGTGGACCACTATTCCCCGTTTTGAGTTAGCAACAGTTATTAGTCTTTGTCAAATATCAGTGAGACATGTCGCTAAGTTCTATATCTTAAGCTCAGATAGTGTCTTCATCTCTTTGGCGCTTCGTCCGTCCATAGAGTCGACTTCCGATACTCATTATTCCCCTATGCCCTGTTCCACGTAGTTTATTTAGCAACAGTCGAACACCGCCAGGTTTCACAGTTCCGAAGAAGGGCAATGGTCTCTCCGCAGAGTCGCCAAACTGCTGTGGTATTAAAACACAGCTTAACCTTGCTTTTATGCTAATGGCGACACTGTTTTCGAATGTAATATGTGTCTCGTAAAGGTCTGTGGGTTTACGGGATTTATAGGATGTATTTATGGGATCTACAGGAATGAGCTGATTTCACACTCTTTACAACCAGCCTGCGTATACTCTTTGGGATCGATCCTAATTCGGCGTTTGGCTTCGAGTTCTTGCTTCAGTTGGATGAAGCGCCTGCATGGTCATTACGCAACTAGTTAGACTGCAACAGGTTAATTGAAAATTGATTGATTAATTGATTGATCGCTCAAAGGGCAGGTAGCTCTGGGCTGCAGCAGCAGAGATAAGGAAGGATGTGAGGATCAGAGACCTCATCTCGAAAGACGATTTCACAAGAAAGGGGATCAAAGAAAAAGGAATGACTGAGCTAGTTGCTGTACTGTAAAAGTTCTTTATGACTAACACTTCCTGGGAATATATAGATTCCTTCCTACATATATATGATGCTTCTATGAATCAAAAGCTTGTCATACGGTGTCGAACTAATCAGTTTCTAGGATATACCACTCCATCTGCTAACTTTGGATTTATTTTTGATCGGCATATTCTTGCTAGCAGACGCAGTACACGTGCGATATTGATGGCCCTGTATGAAGGCCCGAGATTGACGCTGAGCTTAAAGGATGTGTTCGCCGCTTCATTCGTCACAGACGATGAATTGTGGGTCCTCGGAGAGTATGTACTCAGGGCTTACAAGCATAATAAGTAGAGCTGTTGTCAATTGTGTGCTTGTAGCATCCTATTGTAGAATAACATATAATCTTTAGGCCCTGGACTGGCCAAAAAGTCTTGTGCACATTGGCACTAAGGCAGAAGCAAACCCGGTAGCCACTTTCTTCACCAGTGCCTTAGCTTTGCACAAGAAGGCATGACTGGACCGCTAAAAGTTCATTGATTCCACGTGGAAAATGAAATGTCAGGCCAACTTAATTTTAAAACACTAGCCTATAGTCCTGACAAAGCACCAATCGACAAAAGATCGACATGGCGCCAACATGGACAGCTGTCAGGGAAAACACAGTGACTTTGTCCGGAAGGTCAAAGTTTGCGTTAGTCCAATTTGCCAACCCGGTGAATCCGCTCGCTCGTTTCTACTTCGGCATCGGACATATACCGAAGTTTAATAAAATTACTCTTTCTGCACGGCGCGTAATCTCACTTTAACATAAGCCCGACGACTCAAGTTTGTATTTGCAGACACTTGATATGATTAGATATAGTCATCTTTAGTGTTGGAAAGTCTTCCAAAGTGACTACTCATTAGAGGCTACTGTTTTGCATTCTTTTTTTGGCTCTCCTTAAGGAGTATTCAAACCGACGCCATCAACGTGAGTCAGCCGAAAGGGTTAAATTGAGTTGAGCAATGATAAGATTTGTTCTAAGCTTTAGTTAGATTCTCAACAGAATCTAACTAAGGCTTAAAACGGCATGACGATAATCAGTCTGTGTACGTGAGAACTTGAACGAGATGCACAAATATCTAGTATGCCTTGAATTGCGTTTGGCGCTTGGTCAAAAGTGGAAGGTCGCAAGTTGAAATTTGCCCATTGCTTTATGCGAAACAATTTGTATTTGCCAAATAGGCCAAGTGGCTCATCAATTGAGATAACCTTGGGTGGGATAGGCGAACACGCGAAGAGAAGGCAGTTTCTCATATGATACGATAATGTCGCCATAAGGGCGCATAAAGTTGGGGCATGTTTTGTAATGGTGAACCCATTGGCTAGTGTTTTCCTGAAGTGTCTTGAAGGACGATCGAATTGGAGTATATAAAAGTTGCCTATGTTATCCTTCGGATCTAGATATTTTCATACCGACACAGTTCCCTCGAACATTGCTATTGTGAGAATTCCTCCTGTGAGAAGATCTTGTTCAAGGCAAATCTAGTTCCTTGAAGCATTCCTGTGAGTCTTTCATTCGATCTTTGGCATGCTAGGTAGTGTGCTGACTTTGGATATCTTATAGCTTCCAAAATGGTTATGCCTAAACTGGCTCTTCTGCTGGTGCTGCTGCACGCAGTGTCTGTCTCTGCCTACCGCTGGTTCAACTGGCAGCTTGAGGTCACTTGCGAGTCTGATGCTTACTTTGCTCCTGAGAGCGAGGCTGCCACCGCCAAGTTCCTTAAGGAACAGTACCCCAAGGGCTCCCATATCAAAGTTGTTGGAAATGGTCATGGATTCGGTAACCTCACCACCTGCCGTCGACAATTCTCTCACTGAGAAACCCTCCTACATCGTTTCTATGACCAATTTGCAGAAGCTCAACATCAACAAGAAGAATATGACCGTCACATTCGGTGCTGGCTGGGATGTCTATGACCTTACCGAAGAGCTTAAGGCTAACGGTTTGACTTTCGGGAACCTCGGTGTTGAACGTGTTCAGAACTTCGTGGGTGCCGCCTCCACCGGTACACATGGCTCTGGATCCAACATCGGTAATATCGCAAGCCAGATCATTGGACTACGTGTGTTGGACGCGCAGGGTCAGCTCCGTGTCATTAACGAGATTAACAACCCGGAAGAACTGAAGGCTTTCCGTATCAGCCTTGGTGCCCTCGGTCTCATCACGGAGATGACTATTAAGGTCCAGCCTACTCTCCTCATGAAGAAGACCACCAAGGTCGTGAATGCCACCTCCGATTACAGGCTGATGGGCAAGGAGCTTGCCCAGCTGTATAAGGACCACGAACGTGTGACTGTTTAGGGTCCTCACTTCGACTAGAACGAGGCCTCTCAGGACTGGGACCTTGAGCCTACTTACTTCTACTCTTACTGGGAGCCGACCGACTATACCGGTGTCCGCAACTGCACTCTCAACTACTGCGCTAATGGTTGCGGTGACTGTAACAAGGAGTACATCTGCTACGATGACGTTATTGACGCCGCGTCTTGCCCTCCCCAAGGTGTCTGCAGCCGAGAGTTCTACGCTGAGATCGAGCACTTCCTTCCCATCGAGTACTACGCCGAAGCCACCGCCGACTATATTAGTTACCAGCAGTCCCAAACTCCCCGCATGAAAGCTCCCTATAACAATATGATGGTCATCCAACACCGTTCTCTCAAGGGTGATGATACATACATGTCCCCTGTCAATACCTACAACCTTGGCCCCGAGCTCAGCGGTGTTTTTGCTATCATCGAGATTGACTGGATCCAAACCTATAACAACTTCACAACTCTTTGGCAGAACCAAGCGTTGGGCGACGAATTCCTCCCTCGCTTTGGTGATAAATACAACGCCCGGCCCCACTGGAACAAGATGAACCCTGCTAATGCTACCTACACTCTGGAGAAATTCCCGAAGCTGCCCGAGTTCTTGGCCATCCAGCAGCGCCAGGATCCCAACTGCCAGTTTGTCAACGAATTCCTGGTCCAGCAGCTTGGAATTACCCGCTGTGCGAACTACCTCTCCATGTAAGGTGTGATAGGAAAGGTCAGAAACACTCATTTCTTTGTGTTTTCTTTTGGTTTGGGGAGGGGGAGGGGAGGGGGTTGAAGCGGCGGGGCGCTTGTCAGAAGGTTGGCAAAGATCGCTAAAACGGACTGGGTTATTGAACGAGCTTTGTATATACAATTTTGTTGCACAGAGACCTTTATCAAACCTTTGCCTGTTTGTCAGGTCTTCTATAGGAGGAGGAGGAGGAGTAGTAGTAGTAGTAGTAGATTTCACTTTCCCCGAGCCCTCTCAAAGTTGATTTGACCACTAGACCAAAATACGAATCTGCACCCAGTCTAGTGGGTAGTGGTTTATAATCAACTTTGCATTACGAGGGGTCAAGGTAAATGAAATCCATCCATCCATCCACTCTGTAATGAGTCTAAGAAATTTTGGAGAAAGAGAAAATTTTCCAAGGGCCTAAGATTGTTCGAACTCAATTAATTTTTCACATGTAATTCGAATCAGTACAGCATCGGAGCGTATAGCTATAGCCACCCAAACGACGCTGCAGGTAGGAAACATTGTCGCAGGTTTGAAGTGATGCTGCTGATGGAAGCAATTTAACTTTATTAACACCCGCAAAAAAACCAACCGCGCCCGTTTCGTGGCCGCGGTGCTGTTTCAGGTGCTGACCCACGCACTAGGCATAGTTGTTGATCTACTTTGATTATCAAAAGATAATGGCGAGAAAACATAGTCACCTACCACGATATTATGCTCTTTCACAAATGTCCTTTTGCACAATTTGCAAGTTATCTTTGGGTGTTAGCCTGCCGCGCCGGTTAATAGAAATCACCCACGTGCTATTGATCCCCTACATAGCTCCGGCTCATCCCATTTGGGGAGCAAGTTGGTCCTGAACATTAAGAAAACATTCTGCCTGCGACGCTACCTATCCTCGGCACGTTGCCCATTTTCCGATACTATATCGCCCACTCTGCTATATAGCAGTGCCTACATAGACTACCCTGCTATGTTGCATTTTTTACATAGTCCTCTCTGCCAGGGAAGAGCAACACCTGATGCTGATCCTGATGATGATCATAGAATATCGTAGTCAATTTCTAAGAGTCCTGAGGCATCAGGCGTCTTGAGATCTGAGTCTCACGGTTGTGCGCCTCATTGTTGATAACAAGTGATAGAAAGGTGTGTGTCTGATTGTATATCTTGATTAATTTTTACAGGAGCGGGGGCGATCTTATGTATATGCCGTCCTGATCCCTGCAATAAGCTTCAGCTACCATGGTACTTAATACTCCCGCTCGATGGTAGCAGTCACCAAGATGCCAGTGACCATTCATCACGGTTGCAGAGGGCCCGGTTAAAACCTTCAAAAAAACCCGTTTCATGGGAAAGGAAGGAAAGGGTACCTACCTATCCTATGGCTTAGTCTCGCCCTAGAATTTAAAGAGCCGTGGCTTCACTCAATACCAAGTCCTCTCCGAAACCATTCAAATCTTTCTCGTGCAAGAGGCTTGGTGTGTCTATCGGCAATCTGATCTACGGTTTGAACAAATTTAAGTTCAACTCCTTCAGCGTCTTAAACTTCTCCTTGCCACTTGCGTTGAATTTCCATATGCTTAGCGCGGGAGTGATATTGCGGATTCAAGGATAGAGCGATGGCCCCTTGATTGTCACCGCAGATGATCGTTGCGGTCTTTCCTTGGCTCTGTTCAATTCATTAAGGAGCTTTCGCAGCCAGATTGCTTCTTTCGTCGCTTATATCTGTCCTAGAAATTCAGCCTCACAGGTTGAGAGGGCAACGACACTCTGACGCTTCGATTGCTAACTGATTGCTCCACTTCCGATATTGAAGAGCGGGGCAATTGCTCATTCCGAGCTAATAAGGTTAGTATACGCTTCTTGGCTCAGGTATAGTATTCTGTTTTGACGATCTCGTTTGATAGACATTCCGAGGTAGTAGCCACACGGTCCTGGGTCCGTCATTCGAAACCGGTTCCTAAGACTCTGCTTGGTTTTCTTTATCTCTACACTACTTGGCCCCAAAATCAGGAGATCATCGACGCACACTACGATGTACATGTTACTCCGGACGAAGATGCTAAGGTTAGCGCTGATTGGTTGGAAGCCAAGATTGCGTAGAAAATTGGTGAGCGTTTAGTACCAAATGCGAGGGGCTTACTCTAATCTATAAAGTGACTTTCGAAGCTTATAGACCCTTGCTGTGCCGTCTGTTATATGATAAGGCTGTTCGACGTAGATATCGTGATCTATACCTCCGTAAAGGAATGCCGTTTTCACGTCTATCTGCTCGATCTTAAGTTCTAAAGCAGCTCCGATTACGAATAGAGCTTTATAACTCATTGGCTTGACGACCGAGGCAGAAGTCGCGTTATAGTCAACACCCGCTTCTTATGTGAAGCCCTCACTACCTATCTGCTCTTATGACGGCTTATCTCGCCGTGCGGTCCTCGTTTGAATTTGAAAATCCATCTTCCACTGAGAATCCACCGATCTTTTACAGGTTCAACTGGCTCCCACGTTTTGTTCTGTTTGAGTGAGTTCACTTCGTCCCACATTGACCTTTCCCGTTCTAGCCAGCTTGTATCATTCTTCGCCTGCTGAAGGGTCTTTGGCTCGAAAGGTACTGTTTCCTCTGCAGCCACCGTCAAGAACGTTGGAATGACGTCCCCTTCAGGTATATTGATTAGAGTAAGTTTTTCTTCGCTGTCACTAGAGGTACTAAGCGTGGCCTGTTGGGCGCGGATTCTGAGCTCAGGATGATATGCTAGCGATTCTTTTTGCACAGTATGTGTGGGACGGTCAAGTTGCAGTTCTGGGTTTTGTTGCCTTTCTCCTGAAACTTGACCCTGTTGAGCGTCGCCCTATTGCTGGTCGCCTCAGGGGTGACTTGGGGTGGAGGCGGATTGGATGATCCATTGACACGTCCGGCGGAAAATGTTGCCCTGGAAGTACAGCGGAAGCTTGTCACGGTTGATGGAGCTCGTATTGCGTATGATACCGTTGCCATCGACGATTCCACTGTAACTGAGGTTGAGACCGAGGCATTGTGGACCCAGATGCGGATGGAAGGTAGCCAGCTTAGTGAGCCCTCCATCTATGACCGTGGTGGAAGCCTCGAGCAGTTACGAGAAACCTGTCTACAAGAGACTGGACTGGGACTGGATGCCTCGTTGCCTCAGTGGGAAACCGAATTTTTATGATCCTCATGCCGGGTTAGCGTATATGCAGGACTGGTCCACTGGGATGCGATCACGCAAAGGTTGGGAGCTAAACTAGTCCGTAACAGGATGCACGCTCGTCTTCACTAATCCTTTTTGTCCTTTTCCCCTTCGTGCTTCGTATTTTGAATTGGATGCACACTTTTTCTTGAAATAATTGCCTGGTATCAATAGCTTTGGACATTCCTCATAGTTAGCTAGATTTATCTACTATAAAATTCGAAATCCAATCCCGATCGCAAGGGGAAAACCAATATAAACCAGATTTTAACAATGTAGAAAAAAGGATTAAGCAAAATATATAGCAACCTAAATGAGGGTGTTTGTATCAATCCCCCATGAAAAACAGTTAAAGATGAAAATCCAAAATTGCCCGAGTTCATAGCAATCCATAGAACATTTATACCCGCTCCACCCCGACGCTGCTAGTACCGCGCAGGAGATTGGTCTTACCTACTTCGCCAGTGTGATAGGCATTTCGATTGGATGCTGCTTCAGCGGCTTGCTCGGTGATATCCTTGCGATCAAACTGGCCAGAGGAAGACACGGTATCAAGGAACCTGAAGACCGTCCTGGATGTTCTTGATTCCTCTCGTCGCTCATCCTCTCGGCTGCGTCTTTTATGGCGTTGGGGCAAGTCGCCACATTCCATGGATTGGAGTTGTCATTGGAATGGCCTTTATTTGCGTCACTCTGCCAATGGGCTCTGGCCTAGCCATAACATACGTCATTGACAGTCAGAAGGAGCTCGCGGGAGAGTCAATTGTGACTGTTAAATTGATTCGTAACACAATTGATGTGTTGAAATACTTTCACAGATCGATCAATATATTTCATGCGCTGACCATACTTTGCTAGGTTTCGCATTTGCATACGCGGTCAACCCTATGATCACGAACATTGAGCTGCAGAATACCTTTATTCTGATCGCAGTGTTGGGAATGGTTTTCTGGAGTGGTTGTTTGCTGTGGATTAAGATTGGAAAAGCGGCCCCTAGATCCATTGCCAAATCGTACTGGAATTTGGTTGATAGTCATGGCCTCGCGGCTCACTAAGCTTGTCTTTTGATCTGTTTGGAGTGGCGTTGATATTTCAGATCGACGACTAGTATCGCGAAGATGCTCCACTGACAAGTTTTCAGGTACCAATCTACAGTTAATTTTGTGTAAATAACTCAACTCCATATTGTCTCAATTGTCATTAATGGTATTCCTACTTTATATGGCTCTATTCTTGGAGCTCGGTTCTCTCTTCTAATATATTCTACAACGTATGTGAAAGCGGGAAGCTATGCTTATCCACGATGCACGGCCAACTTCCTTAATAACTGACAGGCTTAGTTCCTATAGCGCAAGGATGAGAGCGGCGTGACTAATGAAATTCAGCGAAACAAAAACCTAGCGAAACAAAAACATACAACAGTGAGGATTCGCTGGTGGTCACCCACCCAACTACTAACTCACCGGCGTGTGGCTTAAGTACGGCTGAGCGGACGGGAAGCCCTGTTTTCCACACCCTATGGTCGTATGT